AGTATAGGTAATCGCATGGGGCCGAGTAAAATTAAGGATTAATATCACGCGTGTTTTCGGAAGTTGCTGAAATTGCCCGAGTCGCGCAGCGACGAGGGCAATTTCTGCAACTTCCGAAAACACAAGTGATATTAATCCTTAATTTTACGAGGAACCATGTGATTACTTGTTTATAATATATGGGCAAAATGTTTTCTTACTGATCTCGCGCAAAACGGGACGCCATTGTTACAAAACAAACAGAAATTTCTTTATCTTGGTAGCCGTTGCTAAGCGATTTCAGCCAATCATTTTCAGGTAATTTTTCCTGGGGCAATTACAAAAATTAAGAAAAAATCCCCTCTGTCTTGACATATCACAATTCAGTAATTTTGCCCCTTATATGATAATCAGGATAATTCACACAAGTGACATAGATGTGAACACAAGAACGTGGACCTTCCGACCCTGTAAATGGTACAGGGGCAGATACCAAAGCAGTCTCTATCAAATGCAGATCCCCTTTTTCAAGTGAACGGTTGGCTGGTTGCTTTTTCGGATAGCCCAATTTGACATGAACTTCAGTCTGTTATTTATCATTTTTAGAATTTCATCACTTTTCGGTTAGATGATATCATGATCACATGCCAGAAAAGCACCATGTTGTTCGATTTGCAGCTCAGTGAAGAATCCCGGTCTCCACAAATGCTTTGAATTGGCGGCCACAAATGATTAACAAACTGCTCCCCGCAGAACTCATAACTGCTTTGTGTAGGCGTGGGTTCGAATCCCACTCCTGACAAATAATTTCTACTTTTATAATTTACACCGAATGTTTCAAATTAAATTTTGCCAACTAGCAAAACTTTCCATCAGCAAAGCAATTGAAGGCGTACGAGAAATGATCGAGCACTTATTGTTGATCGTAAAGACAATCAAGATCGCCCGGAAGGGGGGGAGGCGGGGGAGATGATCGCTTTCCAGAGCAGCTGCTGGATTTACTGACTGACCATTTGAAACATGGGCTGAATATTTAAGAAAAGCATAGAGGGGAAGCAAGATATCCATGCTAAGGGTTGTGTTGGTCGAAAAGTTAAGTGGTTGAAAATATCAAATCTAGAAATATTCATTAACACTTTACAGAATCATTCTGGCATTATCCCAACATAACTTCGATATAAAACGATAAAATGGAACTAAAACAACGGCTCTATGCAGAATTATGCTCTTCAAAGAGAAATTAATGACATTTACTTCTTACCGCGTCTTGAAACTGTAAAGAGTAGCTCAACTGTGCGGAGATTTTCTCCAAATTAAATTGGCGTTAACTTCGACCTTAAAGCACCGCCATTTTGGAATCAACTTAGTAACCTGGCCGCATACCCCAAATAGCTGCAGCTCCTGCTAAAATATTTTTGGAGTTTTGGAGGAAAATTACCCTCGAGCGTGGGCGCTTTTTCAAGGAAATACGGTAAACAGGAGTGTGCACGTTTTGGTAGACAATTCTTTCCCCTATTAAATGCTTGCCATGATTTCCTAAAGCTAATATAAATCCAAAAACTTTCTTGACTTAACCAGGGAGCATCAACATCAGCAATCCCTGTGGAGTTAGCCCATTTTTACTATAAATACACTTACCTGCTGGAGTTTTCCATTCCTTGAAATTGTTTTTCCAGCAGTGATGTACCAACAGTCAGGAAAGAAATTGGCCAATCTCCTAGGCTAGCTGAGGATTCTCCTTGCTTCGCTCCTGTGTGTCTCTCTAATTAGTATAGGTAATCGCATGGGGCCGAGTAAAATTAAGGATTAATATCACGCGTGTTTTCGGAAGTTGCTGAAATTGCCCGAGTCGCGCAGCGAC